AAAAAAAAATATTTTCAAAGCTTCAATTTACCGATCCAAGTCACCAAGGAAGATCATTTTTTAATGAAAAATTTTTTCAAAAGTTTCTAAATATTTTGAAACTTACCTAACCAAAATGGTAAGGTGGAAACTAAAAAAAAAAAAAAAAAAAAGAAATAAAAAATTGTTTCTTTTAAAAAATTCAAATCAATTTTCAAACATCATCCATTTTTTTGTCGTCAACGGCAATCCCCTACACAAAAAATACGTTCTTCGGCCTCAAAATTTACATTGGTGTGTAAGTATGGTTGGGATGACTGTACGGTCGAAAGGCATTGCTCTCATCATTTAGTAAAAAGCTGAGAGACATTTTTTCTGACGAAGAACCTTCAGAAGCTGATTTCTTTCTTTGTTTACTTCTTGATGGTCTTCTTGGACAATAAACGTAATTTGGATACAATTTCATATGTCGCTCTTTTTCTGCTCGAGCCTTCTCCGCATAAATTTGTTTGACTTGTTGTGGTTCACTTGCCCACTTATCAGCTGCGGATTTTGAAATACGAGATAATTCTGAAAGGAGAATATTTGGATTTTGTTCCTTGATCTTTTTTTGATATTCCCTTCGATATATCATAAAAGAATTTAAAGGTCTTGGAGGAGTATCTCGATTTCTTCGACGTTTTGTAGAACGTTGGGAAAGAGGTTGTTGTTGTGAGTTCATCATTACTGTCGTTGTTTGATTATTATTAAGATTAGTATCAATAAGTTGATTGTTAATATAAGACGTAGTGAAAGGATGTTCGTTGATCGTTGTTTCAACCAAGGCGCGTTTGTTATTATTATATGATACGCGAGAGGTCATTAAGAAAAAATTTCTTTTTTTTTTTCTTCGCTGCGTAAAATTACTTTATATTTAGTAGCAGCAATTGAATGTGGATCAAAGAAGATTTGCTTTCAATGTTGTTTCAAAAGAAGTTTGAGCTTTTTGGAGAAAAAAAAAAAATAATTTTTTTTTGTTTGAAAAAAAATGGTTTCTTCGGTATTTCAACAGTTATTTATAAGAAAAATTCACAATGTGTATTTATATATATATTAATAAACTAAATATGAGTTATTGTTTTGGGCGGGATACTATAAAGTATTCGGGTTTAAATTATAATGTGCAGATTATTTATGTTATGCTTTACTTTAATTTTAAAGTAATAAATTTATATTGTTAATAATATAAATAATATATAAATTTTTTATATAAAAACAATATATATTTGATATTTGTGTGATATATGTGATAATTTTAAATGGGAACAATAAATGGCTTACAATGGGATTAAAATAAAAAAAAAAATATATTACTTTAAAAATGGTTACCCCCTGTCAGTTTAGTGTGGCTGATTATATGAAGGTAATAGTAATATGAGTAATTTAGTAATAAAAGGTAATAAAAGGGCGTTACTTAAAAAAACTCCGCTCAAAAAAAAAAAAAAAAAAAAAAA